ATCTCAATGGTTGTTAGTGTGTTGGTATGCACTTGCTGAAGGTGTTGGTTTGATAGGCAGCTGCTATGGAGTTCTGATTGGTTGTTAGTGTGTTGCTATGCAGTCTCTAAGGATGATTTAGCAACTGCCTAGCAACACACTAAGAACCATTCAGAACTCTTTAGCAACAAATAATGACGACCAAACTTTCCCAGCATCCACCTGTCCCTCCGCGTGCAGTGGGTATTGTGGACATCAGGAATCACCAATCGTGTCTCGTTAAAATGCAATTACACACAATGCAAAGTCCAAGCCACATCTTTGAGAAACTGAATCGCATGTTAATTCTGAAACATTGTAAACAAAAAACTCACAAACTTCTCACAGCCTCTCGTGCTTCCCAGACCTTCAAACGAGCCATGTTTGTTTGGGATTCTTTGCAGCGATGCCATGTCAAGATCGTAATGTTCTGCTGGCAAATACACGCTCACAAATATACATGTTTATTATGCTAAAACAACACAAATCTCTGGTCTGAATTAAAGCAGGGCACTTTTCAGGACCCAGTGTACTAGAAAACAAAACACATCCTCTCTGTCACTGAGGGTGTGGTTCATTTGTCTGCTAAACCAGATTTAACAGATCAATCAATCAGTTAACCAGTGAAACCAGCATCATGCAGACCAAGGCCTAGACCATGCATTGAACATAAAAAAAAAAAAGAAGCATAATTAAATAGAAGTCTAATTTTACTTGGGACGCAATCATTTTGAACTATTTGCAAATAATATTTTAAAACATGCACACATTCACTCTTTATTTGTAGGCAGTGTTGGGGAAAGTTACTTTTAAAAGTAATGCATTACAATATTGCGTTACTCCATAAAAAGTAACTAATTATGGTATTTAGTTATTGTAGACCTAATTTTAACTGAACACGCAAAACGTTTAGTGTCTCATCTCAATCAGTTAGGAACTACAATTCAAATGGGCCATATTTGAGAAAAAATAAAAAGTCTAGTAGTTTGTATCACTGGATATTACAGTTGTTAGTTTAACATTTATATCGTAAAACATTTGTCAAATATTAAATGTTTGGCTGCGTACCTCTCTCTCTTTCAACGCTTCGCGCTGGAATTCCCGCTCAAACTCTGTTCACTTACTGTGAACAGTAAACTCCGCCTACTTTGATTTGATTGGCCAACATTTTGAGATTGACGAGCGCTCAGAACCAAAGCCACTAGAAGCCAAAAATTTCTACTGAACACTGTTATGATGACAGTCCTTCATCTCCACCTCTAGATTCTGGTTCCCTTGACGCGTTTGAAAAACGCGTAACAGCTAAAGCTAACGCTTCCGGGTTTGCCAGTACGTGGGAAAGGAGACCAGAGGCCATTTTTTAAATGGATGTCAATGGAGGAGAGGCTTCACTACGCCGAATAAACAGCTTTTTAGAGGAAACGGCATATCATTTAATGATTCGACAGCCTATCTGCTAATCTTCAACATGTTTTACGCTAAACAATAGCTTTGGATTGTTTACACCGAAAACCATTTTATAAGAGAAGTCACTGACTTTTTGCGACAGGTGGGACTCAGCTTACATCACTTCTCATTCATTCCTATGATATCCATAAACGGATATTGAGTGTCGCACAACTCCGACTGAAATTCAATGACGTCAAGGCTGTAATGTGATTGGTTATTAAGGCACACGTGATCCACGTTGACCGTTACGCTTTCTCCAATAGTATAAGACCATTGCTGCGTCCCAATTCGCCTACTTATACTATGCCCTAAAAGTATGTACTCTTTTTGTGAAGAAAAACTACATACTTTTGAGTATGTAGCAGACTAAGCTTCGGGACATGCTACTTCGTCATAGCTGCTTCTTTAAGGGATGCTCTGTTGCTTAGTTACGTGCATTCTGTCTTGGTTTAAACTGCCCTGTCAATCATCTCATCACAGTTAACATCATCCACATTTCGTTTAATTTGATTTCCTACCATACTGGAGAGAAATGAAGAGGCACGTTGATCTGCTAGTAGCGCGCGGGTCTATCACGCCGAGAACTCTGCTCATGTGTTTGCATAATGATGCATTTAAAAGCTAATGACCAAATGTATGATTATAAAAGTTCACAGTGTTTCTGCAAGATGAAATATAACGCGGATAACATTAGGCTAAATGTATATTTTTCATCAAGTTGGACATTGATTCTGCAAGATGAAATATAACGTGGATAACATTAGGCTAAATGTATATTTTTCATCAAGTTGGACATTGATTATTTATCACTCAAATCCGTTCATCTACCTGACCGTTGGTCGTGCCATGTTTGTAGTTTTTTAAAACACTTTTAATGCGTGTTTGTTGTTCTAATTGAATCCTCGTCCACCGCGCAATGTGTTGTGGGCAATTTTAGCACGTGCATCGATCTCCACTTCGAATTTTAGCCGGAAGTAGTAGACCATCCGGGAATCTTTGGCATACTTTTTTAAAACATACTATGATTTGGGACATACTAATTCTATTTTCGAATACTATTTTGGACGGATAGTATGCGTTTTGGGACACAGCAAATCTGCTCAGAACACCGAGGAAGAGTAACTTTTAAACCTTTTTGTAATCCTAACAATTTGGCCATTTTTAATTATTGGGGGAGACTTCTCGCAGTCAATGTCTATGGTGGTTATGGCCCTGATAAGCCTATTTAACGGCGGTTTCCTCTCTCGCTGGCTCGGGAAAAACACTCACAGTAACACGAGGTCAGAATGCACTTATCGCAGCAGCACTGTTGTGCTGTACTTCCTGTGTGCGGCGATCGTTTCAGCGTAAAACAGCTTAATCTCACCCGTGAAGGGCAGAACACGCAGTGTTTTAAAAATACACATCCGGTGAAAAACACACATTGTGCTGGAGTCTAGAGATAGAGAACACTTGAACTCTACCACCTCGTGAACACTAAACACATTACAGTCATCATGAAGACAAACTAAATGTTCCAGGTCTTATTTTGAAGGGGAATTATTCTGTAAGGCAAAAAAATAAAACTGCTCCACCTCAGGGGCCGATTTAGTGATTTGGGGGCCCCAGGCAAAATATAGGAATCGGGCCCTATATATTTGCACACATTTACCTAGATCAACCTTGAGGTTCCATTTTTGTTGTGATGCTTGCTGCAGCAACCATAGTTGTGTCCAATGTTTCTACATTTTTCATGTACATGTTATAATGGCTTTCTTTCATGTTGTAGACCACGAAATAGCAACTGATTTAGTTTTCACAAAAACAATGTATAAAATGATAAACCTCACAATTGAGCCTTTAAAACATTTTTTTAAGAAAAGAGCTGCGTCAGAAGTATAAATTATCATATTAAATTTAAAACGGGGTTATGTGGGTGGATTTTCGCATTGGTCTGAACAAACACTGCAGACGGGATTATTGAAAATGCACATTCATTCTCTGCCAGCAGGAGGCGCTTTTGGAACGTCAGAAATACAGCGGTTTCCCCGTTAACTGCTGTAAACAAGGCAGCGCTGCTCATAAACGCTACTTTATCAGATAAAATGAAAATTCCACCGAAACTTTTCTGAAGACAGTCGGCTCCCTTCAGAGCTTCATTCATATAAAAACTTGAATTAGTGAGAATGAGAAAAATATAGCCTATATTGAGGAGGAAAGTCCACTGATGAGTTACCAGCATAAGCCTGTGTGCCAAAGGCTGTCTAATTCTAAACTTTATAATTACACTTATTTTAACTACAAATTTAAATGGAAATGAAAAAATAATGAAATGGAAAATATACATTTGCACACCTAAGGATTATATCAACCAAATAAGTAACTGCGTATGTGTCCTCTACTTGGGTTCTTCTCATAAATGAGTAAGCGCCATTTAAAACAATAAACATATAATATGCACTGTTGTGCAATATTTAATTACAGCTTCAGATACATGATATTTTCATCATTATGTGGTGATAAACACCGTAAACAGCAACCGTTCTCGTGTCAGCGCTTAATGCGCATCTCGCATATGAAAAGCATTTTAGGGGGCCCTTGGCTTTTGGGGGCCCAAGGCGGTCACCTACGACTTCGCTTTCAGATGACGTCATCAGTCCCTCTTATTTTTCAGCCATTTCTGTATAAAGACGCTTTTAAGCCAGACGATCAATTTATCTTGGTCTTCATGTGTTGTTATTGTTAACTAAAACTAAAGCTATTAAAATCAGTTTGTTAATAAATGAATAACTAAATACATATTAGATGAAAACCTAAACTTACAAAAACGTCAACAATCTTTCGTACGTACGGATGAATTAACAGTGACGTCGGTGCTTCCTGATGGAAAAAAGTTAAACAACAGTTAGTGCATTATTATTTCACATAATATTTTTAACATAAGTGTATATAATATGCAACAGGTTAGTATAATTAAGTGCATACTGTATGCAATAAGCAAGTATTTAACCTCAGCCAGATTCTCTGCAAGTATAAACACACAAAAAAATGAGAACAATGATGTGACATACACACATCTGAAGGAATTTAAACCCAAAAAAATTAAAATTAGCTGACAATCTACTAGCGTTGCATCAGTGTCTCATCAATGGATGCTCTGGAGTGAATGGGTGCCGTCAGAATGAGAGTCCAAACAGCTGATAAAAACATCACAATAATCCACAAGTTATCCAATGGAACATAATCCATAATAACACTTCCTCCAGTGAGTCAGTGTTCTGGTGTGAATCAGGAGAGAAATCTGCACAGATCAAGCAGCGTTTAAACAGCTCTAAACACATATGTGGCTGGATTGTAAAGTGAGAGACAACAGCAGATGCACTTTTTCAGTTATTATGGATTATGTTCCATTGGATAACTTGTGGATTATTGTGATGTTTTTATCAGCTGTTTGGACTCTCATTCTGACGGCACCCATTCACTGCAGAGCATCCATTGCTGAGACACTGATGCAATGCTACATTTCTCCATGCAGCATTTCATTTGTCTGCACAAAAAAAATCAGAAAAGAGACTCCGAACTGGCATCACTCACAAAGAGATCCAGAAGTTTATTAAAAGAACCGTGGCATAAAAATACAGAAATGTCTGCCGCAAGTCAGAAAATAAACGTGAAACGAAAAACCCTGCGTATGTCCGTTTATCAAAGTAAAGTTTTCTGATGCAATCTGAAGGCACGTTACATCATACATGACCGTGATTTGATAACAGAAATCAAATATCATGTTTGCAACTGAGGCGAATAACAGCGTGAGCTCTATGAGGAATGTTTCTGTGTTTTTATGAACACAGTGGCATGTCGTGTCTGATATCACTTATCAGCGCTCAAAACATATCAGTCGCCAAAACAGTCCATCGCCTCGGCAACGATTATTGCTATTGTCTTTATCTGAAGCCTTATCTGCTATCGTCTGATTATCAGGCGCTGGATAACATTAGGACATTCAGCTGCTACGCTTTCACATATTAGCCTGATTTTCACTTCCACTGGAATAAATATCAGCGTTTTCTTCATGCATGTTCAATTTGACTTGAATCTGAACGTTGGCATGATGAACTGCGATGCAGGAGTCATGCTGGGTGTCAGTCTTTCCGTCTTTGTCATGCATTGCACCATTATCACAATTTTTGTCTTGAACACCATGATCTTCTGGAAGTCCAGCATTGGAATGAATGTTTTCCTCCAACTTATCGTCTGCACATAGCCTTCTAGCATCAGCTGTGACAGTCTCAGTGCTGTCAGCTTCTTCAGGACCTTGAGAAACCATCATGATTTCTTCAGTTTTGCTGGTGATGTTCACTGAAACCACTTTGTTTTGGTTCCCGTCATCTTCCCGAGCGTCCTGAACACTGTTATGAGGACAGTCCTTCATCTCCACCTCTTCTTCATCACGGTCATCATTTCCATCAGGATGCATTGCAGGTAGTTTATTTTCAGCGTCACCATCATCATCTTCAGTGTTTCCATCCTCTCCTTCACTTCGAATCTCTCCGTCCTCCAGCTCATCGTCCTCCGAGACTTTTGGTTTCTTCGGCACATGCACAAGAGCTTCTGAATGTGGTTCAGCCAAAGAACATGAAGTTCTGGTGACGCTCGCTGATGCAACAACATTGGAACGCTCTAGAAGCAGAGGAAAATGCACGTTGTAAATAATATAAAAAAGGTTCAAATAAATGACTAAAAAAATTTGATTAAATATGAAAATAAATAATAAATTATTACATTTTATTAAAATAAATTGATTTAAATAAATACATTAAATGCACCACTAAATAAACAACATCATATGATTAAAATCAATCATACAAATTAAATTAAAATTAATATATAAATAATACATCTAACAGTCAGTGGGAAAGTTTAGAGGAAAGCAGTGTAAAAATGTTTTTTAAAAAAAGTGTAAAATATTAAAATAAATAAAGAATAAAAATAAGACGAAATAAATTCGATTAAAATAAAGAATTGGTTTAAACAAATACATAAATAAGAAATTCCAATAAGTAAATTTGATTAAAATAAATTAAAAATGGGATAACAAGGGGATGCTAGGAGGTCTGTGGAAAAGTTTACAGAAAATCAGTTAAAAAATAAAAACAATAAAGTATTAAAGTAAGATTGAACTAAATTTGTTTAAATAATATTTAAATAAATATATAAATACATTTTGATTTAAATAAATAAAAAACACAAAACAAAAACATTTGATTAAAATAAATAAATACATTATTTATATCCCAAACAAATAAGGGATTGCTTGGAAAAGTAAAAAAAATAATAATAACAAAATAAAATAAATATTTGAAATTTAAAATGACATAAATAAACAACTAAACAAATAATACATCTAACAAGGAAGGCAGTGATGGGGTTCCATGGAAAAGTTTTGAGAAAAGCGTTGGAATAAAAAAAGAAAGTGTAAAAATAAACTAAGTAATGTGGTCTTTATATATCTACAAATATCATACTGCTGACTGAGACAATGGATGTCAGATCAAATGTGACCCTGGACCACAAAACCAGTCTTAAGTGTCAATTTTCTTCTGAAAATCTGAATAAATAAGCTTTCCATTGATGTATAGTTTGTTAGGATCGGACAATATTTGGCTGAGATACAGCTATTAGAAAATCTGGAATCTGAGGGTGCAAAAAAATCTAAATATTGAGAAAATCATCTTTAAAGTTGTTCAAATGAAGTTCTTAGCAATGCATATTACTAATCAGAAATGTAGTTTTTATATATTTACAGTAGGAAATTTACTAAATATCTTCATGGAACATGATATTTACTTAATATCCTAATGATTTTTGGCATAAAAGAGAAATGTATAATTGTGACCCACACAATGTATTGTTGGCTATTGCTACAAATATCCCCCAGCGACTTAACACTGCTTTTGTGCTCCAGGCTCACATATCGTGATGAAACAGCTGTGATGATTTGCAGCTCTAGTGCAAGAGAGAGACAACAGCTGATGGTTGGACCTGCTGCCAATGTGTTGCATAACTGAATTAGCATGTAATAAAAGGTTAGGACTGCTAACAGAAGCATGGGCTTTCATCGCTCGTTTGGTCGGTCTGGCCTGTTTCGTGAAGAGAGAGTCGGTATGAGAACGAATGAGGTTCATCTCTCTGTTAAAACACCTCAGAGAGCTCAGAAAAACTGACAAGAACAGGTTTCATCCCATCTAAACAAATAAATAAGACGGTTTTGCAAACAGAAAATGAACACTGCTTTTTTTAACCGTTTTTTTTGTTGCATTACGACAACTAAACACTCATGATATTTATGTTATATAAAATTCTAGAATATTATTAAATGACAAAAATGTCAGTAAAGTAAAAAAAAAAATAGGAATAAATTATAATATAATTTCTAATGAATTTAATATTATTTTTAATAAATCTAACATTGAGTAAATAAGTAAATAAATACATGCATGCATGTTAACAATTGCTATCAATTCCGGGTCAAAAATGTAAAAAAAAAAAGAAAAAGAAAAAAAAAAGGGGAATAATTATTCCTCAATTATTCAAAAAACCCACACATGTTCATTGTGCAAAATATTGTAAATAATAACAATTTATAATTAATAATATATCATTTTAATACATCTAACATTAAATATAAAAAAATAAACATAAATAAATGAAATTTTTTTAACTTTTCAGTGACGTATTTAACTAAATTTAAGTAAAATAAGAATGGGGTGAATTTGCTTAATTTTCATGAAAATTATTTTCAGATTATTATCAGTTAATATCGAAATTATTTTAAAACCTAAAAAGTTAATTATGCATAATATTATAATTGGCAATATATTATTTTTAATACGTCTATCATCTTTTTTATTTTTAATACATCTAACATTGAATAAATAGATACATGCAATTCAGCGATTGCTACAATTTTTCAATAAAGTATTATTGAAAATTAAAATTAAAACAAAAATGGTCAAATTATTCCTCAAAAATGTTATGCAAAATATTATAAATAATCATATAATTGATCATTAATAACATCAAACGATGAGTGAATGAATGAAAATATTTTATTTTCTCCTCCCGTAGCTTGTGTGATGAAATGTGAGGTTCAGTGTGAGTGTGTGTTTAGAGCCGTCTGATTCTGTGTGTGTTTAGTACCCGGTCTGCGAGTGAGGTACTGCTGACTGTGCTGTTGCAGAACCACAAAGACTTCTGGGTATTCCACGATGGTCTTCTGCATCAGGTTTTCCTGCAGAGTTGTCTTCAGGTCCAGCTCCAGATACCTGCCAAAAACAACACTAACAAACTTACATTTGTACTTCATTAAGTGTAATTTTAACAAATCAATCAATTTTATCCTTCAATAGTATAGTAATGTAGTACCAACTGACTCTTACAGCATTAGTTGAGTACCTGATATATATCTAAAATAATCAATATTGAATCGAATCGGTAATCGAATCGCAAGCTTGAGAGTGAGAATCGTTCAGTAAGAGCCTCTGTGCCTTCAGCGTTCTCTCACATGACATCAGTGAACCCGAGGCCTGCCGAGAGCCTCGTAAACCAGGGATTTCACAGCGTTCGATCTGTCCCAAACACGAGAGCCGGGCATTTCCAAACACTGCTGGTTCTAGAAGCTCGTTCTGTTCTGCAGGCCAAAACTAAGAGCCAAACCGACGCAAAGGAAAACAAGCCGGAGCGAGCCAAACCTCACGGGACGAGCGAGGCTTCGGCAAATCCACACCAAACAACAAACAAACGCCCCATTTCTGTGCAGGCAAAGTTCAGCTGCGTAGGGATTGAGATTTATGGACTACATTACACACATACTGCTGGACAATAGGGCGGTCAAATAAAAATTTGAATTTCGAATATTCGTCGAATTAAAAAAAAAAAAAATCTAATTTATGTCTGCGTCAGGCAGCCTTATCAGTGGTGCATGAAATGCGACAACGATGTAAGTGTCATTGCATTTGAATGCTTTTGTTAGCCTGTCCAGTTGAAGCCACTAGATGCGGCGCTGCTACGTTGTTCATCCAATATATAGCGGAAAACGAGAGCATCAGTGTGGAGATGATGTTATTTACAGCGAAACTGAAACCAAGCCGTTCACACAGAACGCATATTTATCACATTTTCTAGAGGGATGTCTATCACCGCTGCACTCGCGTCTCGCACAAGAGAGCGGCATGTTTAGAAAGCCATGTAAAATTAATGCAAGTTCAACTGAGCGAGGCTTCGGCAAATCCACACCAAACAACAAACAAACGCCCCATTTCTGTGCAGGCAAAGTTCAGCTGCGTAGGGATTGAGATTTATGGACTACATTACACACATACTGCTGGACAATAGGGCGGTCAAATAAAAATTCGAATTTCGAATATTCGTCGAATTTAAAAAAAAAAAAAATCTAATTTATGTCTGCGTCAGGCAGCCTTATCAGTGGTGCATGAAATGCGACAACGATGTAAGTGTCATTGCATTTGAATGCTTTTGTTAGCCTGTCCAGTTGAAGCCACTAGATGCGGCGCTGCTACGTTGTTCATCCAATATATAGCGGAAAACGAGAGCATCAGTGTGGAGATGATGTTATTTACAGCGAAACTGAAACCAAGCCGTTCACACAGAACGCATATTTATCACATTTTCTAGAGGGATGTCTATCACCGCTGCACTCGCGTCTCGCACAAGAGAGCGGCATGTTTAGAAAGCCATGTAAAATTAATGCAAGTTCAACTTTTAAAAAAACATGTCTAAAGACTTTAAGGCGGTTTCCCCCCATCTCACTATATCTCATGTTTTTAAATGAAGACAGTAGCCGACTCTTTGTGATTGCTTTTCGGTCCTTTGTATTAAACTATACATGCATGCATGGTGCTGGTTTTTTTTCTAATTGTTTAAGCAACTTTATTAATTATATATGGTTTATAAACATTATTTTAAACATTATGCACTTTTTGTGTTCTGGTGTGAATCAGGAGAGAAATCTGCACAGATCAAGCAGCGTTTAAGCAGCTCTAAACACATATGTGGCTGGATTGTGATCAGAGAGACAACAGGAGACGCACTTTTTCACTGCAGGAAGAGTTATTATGGATTATGGACTCTGTGGTATTTTAGTTAAAAACGTCTTAATGCTGGATGTGTTTCAGCTTTTGTCTTCTTCAGATGTTAACTGATGGACTGGAGGGGTGTGGATTATTGTGATGTTTTTATCAGACTCTTGTTCTGACGGCACCCATTCACTGCAGAGCATCCATTGCTGAGGCACTGATACAATGCTACATTTCTACAAACCTGATGAAGAAACAAACTCATCTACATCTGGGATGGCCTGAGGGTGAGCACATTTTCAGCATTTTTGGGCAAATTTTCATTTATGTTAGTTAATATTATTTAATGCATGTTAAACGAACACTGTAGTATATTTATACATTAACAGTGACCTAGATTCATAAATGCTGTACTAAACTGTTAGTTGAGGATGAAAACAGTCTATTTGCCGGGTAAATATTGACCGTGAGCGATGAAAGCCGCTCTTGTGAGCTCTCGGAGCTTCCAGTAAAGAGATGTTTGTGGTGAAGGGCTGAAACGCTCATCAAAACAAACCGTACGGACATGAGAGCGACAGAGAGAGACACGGATGATAATAGCATGTCATAAAACAATCCTCTGCTCATATATTGATCGACAGGTTTTGGAAAATGTTTTAAGCTCAGGTTAAATTGCATGATCGCTCATTAATGCAGGAAAAAGACAGAAATGAGTCGCGATGTGAACACAGAAACAAATCCACCACCTTCAGCGAGAAACGGCAAGACAGTTACATCTGGACTTCATTTTTTCCACTCATTTTGACCAAATAGCCAATGGTGCCAATTAGATGCAAAATAATTTATATAAAACAAGGAATCTGCATGTTTACTTTAATAAAATTTAAGCGTTATTTGAATTTATAAGAATCTGAGGGTAAAATCTGTGATTACTGGATAAAGTGAAAATCATTATATATATATATATATATATATATATACAGCGGGGAAAAAAAGTATTTAGTCAGCCACCAATTGTGCAAGTTCTCCCACTTAAAAAGATGAGAGAGGCCTGTAATTTTCATCATAGGTATACCTCAACTATGAGAGACAAAATGAGAAAAAAAA